CAGTCTAGTGAGTTTTCAAAGAAACCCATAATTACCCATATCTGGTAATTATTTGTTCATAATAATTATTTCAAATTCATTTTCTTATGGTACGAAATATAATGTACCATAAACCTTTTTTTTAGAGCAAAGCCATATTGGGCTATCTGCTGTGTTCACCGTGGGGAATCGAATCCCGGATTTTAGTGTTGTGAGCCAATAGACTTATAGCTGTTCCACCGGGGTAATAAATACACCAACAGTGCAGTAAAATGTTGTAAATACGCATTAAGAACGCAGCAAATTGATAGAATGCGTTTTCACACAAGCGTTCAGGGAGGTGATTCTTCCAATGTGGTGACGAAAAAAACAAGAGCCATCTCTGAAAAGTGCACGTGTAATTTTGTTTCAACCCAGTTAACAAACAAGGATTTAACTCTAAAAGTAACGTACGTACACAGTGACAAAACTACAGAAATCGGATGTTAATTTACACGATGGCAGAAGTACAGGGATTGTATGTTTATTTACAAAATGACAAAAGTACAGAGATTGAATGTTTATTTAGACAGTGACAGAAGTACAGAGATTGGATGTTTATTTACACAGTGACAGGACTACAGGGACCGGATGTTTATTGTTTATAATAGACGAAAACCCGCATAAAAGACACATTCATCGTCATAAGGATAGTTAGGGTTAACAAGAGTGTTTTATTCTATCAAAAGATTGGTGTAAAATATTAATGTATAAGTACAGGCATGTTAAAAGTAGGAGCAAGTAAAACATACATATTATTTACGGTTGTTTCTGACATTATCTGCCCCCCCCCCCGGAGGCTCAGCGATAAGTTTCACGGCTTATAACGCTAAAAGTTAAGTTCCGATACCCGCAGTGAGCAGAGTACAGACAGCCCATTGTGCAACAAGCAACACAACAAAAGACATCATGGAATGAGCTGTATCTTACATGATATTATTTGTATATGAGCTTTCGATACAGTGCTAATTATTATCCCTTCACAATAAATGTACTTTATAATGCCCCTCCCAGTGGCTCAGCGATAAGCTTGAGGGCTTACACTACTAAAATATGGGGTCGATCCCTGCAGTATGTACATCATAGATAGTTTATTGAGCCACCTTGTGTTTAGCATACTTTTATCAGGTAGTAATTACATCATTGTCTTATTATTACAATATATTCCATATTAATGTTCATTAAAAATGTAATTTACTCACCACTGCTTTGGTGATAAGAAACAAACATCCTGTGAGATTTGATTTGGTTTTAAAACATTCCTGGATTACAGCTTTCTCTCAGTTTCGTTCGCGTACTGTTATAATCGAACAGAAACAAAACAAAGTAGAAATGACCATGAATATGTTGGACTTTAGAATAACATTATTTCTTTGATATTTTGTAAAAAAAAATGATATCGATGTAGCTATGAGCTTGTAATGGATAAAAGAAGACGTTACTTCTTGGATATTTGACCAAATATATTTGTTAAGTTTGCTTATAGACTATAATGTTGTATAAAATTATAAAATACAAGTAATTTCAAGACTTTTAAACTTTTTCTCCAGGTGAATATTTTTTTTACTTTGATTCCTTGGTTGAAGAGCTTGGGGTAACGAACGTGTCGAGCTACGTATCAGAAGTTTCAACGTTCGAGACGCGATATGCAACTTAATGAGTTCTACATTTTGGACTATAAGCATTATAACTGTGACAGCCAGGTACACTATTCGGTTATGAGTAACCGCGTCAAGACCGTTATTTGGCTAAGAATAAACGCGTCAGGCTCGTCAATCAATTGAGAGTGAGCGTGCTAACCCCGCTACTCGGTTGAAAGTAAACTCATTACTTCCGCATGTCTATTAAGAGTAAACGCGTCAGGTCTACTAGTCGGTTTAGAGTGAGCGCGTAGACAAACTGTTTGCCTTCCAGCTGAACAGCAGTTATAAATTACATTGAAAATACCAAATACATTTGTTTGAGTCTTTATCAGGCGTTGTAAAGGCTCCAAAAATAGGTTGAAAAATCGTCCAAAATCAATATTTTAACACGAAAAAAGTCCAAGTTTTTTTTTTAATAATGTATTTTCTTAATAAATATTGGCACGTTAGACTAGTTCACGGAATGTCTTTAGTTTCCTAACCAAATAGTATACATGTGTCTTGATACTTTGCAAAAGGATATCGCAAGCTATCTACAAACTAAAAACATAACAACATTTACCCAGCTGGCGGGAAACGATTATTGAAAAATGAAAGTGACCGTTGTTTTAATACTGAAACAATGAAGAAGCTGAAATAATTCAAATATATATCGGACATTTGTAACAAGAATGAAAACGATTATCGTTATAGCCCTGCCAAGGCTTGACATACATCAATTATGCTTCGTAAAGCATAGTGAGTGCGTGTCTTTATATGATATAACCCAAATTCTAATAACCTTCAGATGGTATTTGCAACTTAATAAACGAGTAAGAACACTATTAAAGATACAAGATTCATTTTATTAAACTTGCTTTTCTTCTTTTTCAACTTATTGGTACACGAAGAATTGAGTAGTAGTATTATGGACTGAACGAAAGAACAGTTGAATTTAATGACGACAAACCAACTTTTGTTTTAAGGAAATAAAGGTTGGAGACAGCTTGAATGGATAGTGAAAGAAACCTTATTACAAATGTACGGTTGGTTCTGTTGCATGCAATGTGAGTGAGTTACACGTCAAGACGAGAGTTTAAAAAAAATGCATTAATCACACATCTTGTAGTTCTTTATACTACATATACCGTATAGGGCGATCTCAAATATAAGGCGACCCCCATTTTCAGAAAACAGGGGAAAGGAAAAAGAATTGAGTGTCATAACGTCCTTTTTTTAGGTCCACAAAATCAATACTATAAATGAAGAGCCTGCAGGTAGATTAGTTGCAAGAATTAGTGATGACCTTGAGCGAACCTCTAGTGCGCATGCGTAGACGGTTGCTATCTGAGACATTCAGGAATACGACAGGCTAGAGTAGGGGAGGGGGCATGTACTCGGCCGCGATTATAAGGCGACTATGGATTTTACAGTCTAATTATCAATCAAAAAAAGCATCGCCTTTTAATCGAGCCATTAAGGTATTTGTTTATAAGTCAAGATATATTTCGTTGGTATATTCATGTAAGACATATCACTTTAGAAAATAACGATATTCAATCTTTTAGAAGGTTTTTTTTTAGCTTGTACCAATGTTGAGATTGCAGGAATTTCATTCAAACTTTCATTCCACAAAATGTTTTTTTTATTGTATTAAGTTTTTACGACGCAAATTTTAAGGTCTTTAAGTTTTCTTTAGACCCCTAGCATTTCCATATTGCCATTATCTTAGAATTTGAAATAATTTTTAGAACACAATACACACCAACAGTTTTATATTTTCCTCATAACATACTTTCTTCATCGTACCTTCGGTGGGTCAGCGGTAAATTTACGGACTTACAACGCAAAATATTGTGGTTAGATTCCCCTCTGTGGTCAAGGCGTAGATAGCACACAATAACAACAAAATTATCCATCGCTGAAATATAAATGGAGTCTTTCTAGGGTTTTGATAATGTATGGTTTTCGAATGTAAGGCCTATCAGCTCACACGTGGTTAAAAAAAAAAACTCACCCATTAAAGACTTGCAGTTTTTATATATAACAATTCTTAGTATATCAGCCTAGATAGGCTAATAATAAAAACGTTACCTATATACACAGTAACGATTACCACCTCATCACTCCATGTTGCTGTTATTGTTTGTTTATACTTTCATCGAAGTAACAAATTGATTAATTATTGTTGTTGTTGTCTTTATTATTATTATTGACATCATTTGTAACAATTTAATCATCAAAAATACCCCAAATTTCCAGTGATTACTTTACGAAGAAATCCATTAAAGCCACTACGATTTTGGCTAAGTTTTGTGCACTTAAAATGTCGCTCCACGTGATAAAAGGTAGGCGTTTCTAAAGATGGCGGAAGAATAAGTACAAATGAAATATGAACTTCCCTTAAGCAACGAAACAGATGCGATGGCCAGCTGAGAACTGCGGGTTGATGAAAGAGAAACGCTACGTGTAGCTTTACATTACTTTAATTGAAGAAACTTGTCTGGATGTATTTTGATTAAAAATCCTCGTTTCTCCTCGTGAAATTGCTTTTCGTCTTACTTTAACAGTTATTGTCGTAGTCTTTTGTACCGTTTTTTTTTCTATAACAATAACGTTTCACATTCTTAACACCACCTAGTTCGTTACTTCTTCGATAACTTCATATTTATTTTATTTCTAGTATTTTTCTAACATTATTTCTTTATAATTTATTCTTGCAGATACAGACAACAACGGTTACTTGGATGTGTGCGATTTTGAGTGTCTTGCATTGGTAAGTTGACATTTAGGCTTAGCTACTAACTGCACAGCAGTAGTAAAACATACTGAATATTATCACTCAGTGATTAGTCACTGAAAGGATTTGGTGTTCATTTAATCCTTTTTAATCATATTATACTTCCGGCTAAAGCTGTTAGGTTTATATTACTTCAAATTATTTATCTGTACAGCTTCTTACGTTACATATTATTTCTCATATTTTAGCGTTTTAAAGTAGCACTCACGGAAATGCCAAAAACTATTTTTCATATAAAGAATGAACTATATATAAAGTTAGCCTATATATGAATATATATTTATACATTTCTTACACGCTGACCAGATAAACGACCACGACACAAATAGTTGCTGACAATTACAGCGGAGTTAGGTCATTAAAAATATCATCTCTCTTGGTAACATAAGTCTCGTCTCTCGCTCTGTTTTTTTGTTTTTTTTTCAGATTTGGTAATTATTTTCTTCGAGCTCCTGTTGACATGAAAATTTTATAAGAGCTTTCGTTTCCTTCGGAAATTTAAACGAGCTTCCGTTGGGATAAGAATTTCAAATGATTTTCTAATATACTCATTGTTACGGTGCTTACAAAGTTCAAGTAGTTTTCATATTGTTTGTTAATCTTGTGATGTTATCTACAGTATCTGTCTGGATGTGTATCTTGCGGAATGAGATAAATGCAAGTTTTATAACATGCTTATGGGATTTTCTACGTTTCAACGGTTGTTGGCTATGAAGCTTTTTTTTCTTCTTTTTCCAAACCTATAAAGTGAACGGGGTCACTGTGAAAGTTAGTTATATGAAGAAGAAATGATAATGAGAAATAAGGGCATTATAAGATTAGGCCTAATGGACTGAAGGATTTAGGACTAATAGTTTCTATGATGTTAGGTAATAGTAGTTTCAGGAACGTTAGAACTGCAATGATTCATGAATGTGATTTTTGAAGTTTCAATCAGTTTAACGCGAGATGTCTATTGGGTACATTTTCCAATATTAGTGAGAAATTACTTTCGCCCTTTGGTAGATAAAAACGTTTTTTTTTTCACTCATGAATCTTAGCATCTCATGATTAATTCTATTAAAAATGTGAATTACGATAAATACAGTCTTCAAAGGATGTGGCCTTTTGGATAGAAATGTTTACTTTTCGATTTGGATAACAAATAATGCATTTGATGAGTTGGTGAGGAAGATTGCCCAAATACCTAACTTTTCTAAGGGATCATTTATTTATCCAAAGAAAATTATAATTATAAAGTGATGGCTTCGTGAGGAAGATTGCCCAAATACCTAACTTTTCTAAGGGATTGTTTATTTATTCAAAGAAAATTATAATTATAAAGTGATGGCTTCGAGAGGAAGATTGCCCAAATACCTAACTTTTCTAAGGAATCGTTTATTTATCCAAAGAAAATTATAATTATAAAGTGATGGTTTCGTGAGGAAGATTGCCCAAATACCTAACTTTTCTAAGGGATCGTTTATTTATCCAAAGAAAATTATAATTATAACGTAGTACTTACAATTAGCTTTTGAAATACACAAACAAGAGAAGTTATTCAATTTAATTTATATACAATTTATTTAAAACTCTATTAAAGGAATTTTTATTTACTCTATTTTAATATAACCAGAAATACACCATACAAGAAGGAAAGGGAGCCTATGATAAGGAAATTCACGAAAAGAAGAAACAGGTTATGATCAGCTTATGGAACGAGATAGCAGGATTGGCTGACTTTAACAAGGTTTGTTTTATAATTCAGGTTCTTTCTTCTTGCTTCTATCATTTTTAGCTGAGGCATAGCGGCTCATAGAATGGCTCTGAGTTTTTTTTTTTCAAGTACAAATTGTTAGCTCATTAACTCCGACATGTATTGATCGATTACAGTTTTGGACTTAGGAGGTCAAACCCTTTCGATTGATATATTTGACCACGCCCAAAGTCTCAGAGATTAAGTTACTCTAATCCTGCTTAAAATAATTACAATTTGAGGGTAGGCTGGTAGAGATCCTGATGAATAATAAAATCGAATCGGTTATACGCGCGATTGGTATTGCTGACGCACAAAAATATAGCTAATAAAAAGGGAACATAGAGGTCTCGTAGATTAATTTACTCTAATCCTGCCTAAAATAATTTCAAGTTCCACGGCTATTGGGGATTCCCTCTTATTATGCCTAATAGACGTCAAACAAAACTATCTAGCTAACATTATAAAAACACTTATGGTTTATCAGTTTGCTTGCTATAATATGATACAAACAAAAATATCTGTCTGATGTATAACAAAATATTTATTTATTTATTACGTATCTGTCATGCGCATTAACACTACTACTTGATAAAAGAAATTGGATTTAAAGACAAGGTATAAATGTTGACCGTACGCCAAAAATATTCGTTTACCATAAAGCATTTCTAAAGTTTTAGTTCTTAAATATTCCAACAATTTAATAAAGGATCATGTTCAGTGGCAACTAGGAGAGGAGGGAATAATGTTTGTTTTGAAGTTACACGAGGGCTATCCCTAATTTAACAGTGTAAGACTAGAGGGAAGGCAGCTAGTCATCACCACCAACCGCCAACTCTTGGGCTACTCTTTTACAAACAAATAGTGGGATTGACCGTCACATTATAACGCCCCCATGGCTGAAAGGGCGAGCACGTTTGGTGTGACGTGGATTCGAACCCGCGACCCGCAGATGGCGAGTCGAGCACCCTAACCACCTGGCCATGCCGGGGCCCTAACCACCTGGCCTTGCCGGGCCTAGGGAATAATGTACTCAAAAATTTATTTTTCCCCTGATGTAATGTATGGCCTTAGCACTATTTTATATCAAATTTTAAAATGCGAGGTTCTTTTAAGACTTCTTCCCATGAGTCACGGTTTCGAATCTCATCACCGAAATGCTTGCCTTTCTAGTTGTGGGGACGTTATAATGTGACAGTTAACCCACTTATTCTATAATAGTAGCCCAAAATTTGGCGGTGGGTGGTGTTCACTAGTTGCCTTACCAGTAGTCTATCACTTGTAAATTAGGGACGGCTAGCACAGGTAGCTCTCGAGTCGCTTTGAGCAAAATTCAACAAAAACAAACTTTTATAGATTATATCTTTATACTAAAAACATTCAGCTGGTAGTTAACTAATATTACATTCTTTGACTTTTTGAAAGTGTTCGATACCTTAAGGAAAATGTGAATTGTTTGAGACATAAACTTAAGTGTTAGGAAATAACAAAAGCGCCTTAAAAATAAATTAAAACGACCGAAGATGTGCTGCCCTCTACAATTAGTTATAATGATGCCATTAACTTGTTCTATTTTGGTATAAGAAAGCTAATTTCAATATATATAAGTTAAGGGTAAGTAAAGATCAGTGTTTTAAGGTTTGTATAAATCATTATATGATTTCTTTAAAAAAATCAGTATAAATAGTTATTTTGTTATAATCCAATAGAGAAGTAAGCAATGCCTGTGTATCGAATATTATTCTGACCCCTCTTTTCCTTCTTACTTCAACAATGAGTTTAGCTAAACCAGTTACACTGGATATTAATTTAGAAATGTTAGACCACGATATATATTTGGTATCATGATATCTGTTAGAAATATTTTGATTCGAATTTTTTAAACTTTATTCTATTCAGCCCAGTAAAATCGTAAGAAATGACTATAAAGTTAACATCCTGGGAAATAAAAGTATATATCTAATGAAGAAAAGAGGTCCTCGAGACTAATGACCTCAAGTACGTGACCAAATTGATGCTGACCTCCTTACCAGTAGTCCAATCAACAAGAAACAAAAATAATTCATTATTCCCCAAAGAGCAAGTGATTGCGGCAGAAATCCAATTACTCCTAAGACATGTTGATAATAGTAAAACTCAGCATTCTGTAATCATTTCCTATGTGTGTGTGTGTGTATTTAGTAGCAGAATACAAATAAGTAAAGCTAATCACTTAACCTTTGCACAGTAAGGCGTAACAAGATCATGACCTTCTGATGAGAGAAGATGTGTATGCAATACTAAATAAAATATAGAATTAGAGAAAAAAGGTAACTGTGGTATCTTGTAAAATTAAACTCCACAGCACAAGTATTTCAAACGTAATTGGACTTTAAAAGTTTTTCAGAAAAAAAAAGCTAATTTAGGTGGACGTTTCAAGTCTGTAACCATTTAGTCGAAGTACACCAATTACTATCTATAATAAAAAAAGATAAACTTTCAATATTTAATCATTTCTTACCAATAACACCTAGTCTTAACGCCATTAGAATAAGGTAAACCCAAAATTTTAATATTTATTAGTAACTTCCAATGAAGGCTAGCTACCTATATATAGAAAGCGAAACTAAAAGTCAATTATGAGTATAGTTAATTGAATATACTTTTCTTACTTATGAGGGTTATAATGCATTGTTTCATCAGTTAACGATATTTTCGGCCATAAACCTAATGAGATCTCACGAGATTTGGCTACTATAGAATCTTGTACTTGTAAAGGGGGAAAAACATATAAAACAGTCTGGTGTTATACCTTGTACCCGAAGACTTTTCTTTGGGATCTGTTCAGCTAATATTCTGCTTTCATTCCAATTGTAAATGATCAACTTATGTGGTACTCATCCGTGCGAGTTCAGCCTAACATATCAAAATTGTAGAATCGAATCACCAATTGCATGGTATTTCTGTTAAGGCAAAAACCTTAATTTATGCTTTTCAAAGACCTTTTTACGTAACTGTCAACCATTAAGCATGTACAAATAAAAGAGTGCCAAAATAACATGCGATATCTTTTAGCTTTCAACAGTAAAATTCGTATTCAAAATCTATCTATCTCTAGTCACGTTTTAGCTAATAATTTTAAATGAACTTTTCACTAATAGATTTAGAGAAGTTACATTAATACTCTTAAATACACGTTTCGAAATATACAAAATAAAACTATATTTCACCACATGATGCCAGGTAAACCTGGTGAAACGTTGTGAATAGAATAAACAAAAACTTTACTATGTACAACTGATAAAATACTTGTGTGAAAATAAAAATTTTAGGAATGACAAAATTCCTTGAATAAAAACTCAACAATTATAATTTAAAAGCAGTCAGCGAAGCTTGAATAAACTTATTACTGTTTCGTGTTTGTATACTTGTAATTTTCTATTGTTATTTTCCATTTATCTTGATGTTACGATATGTTACATTATCACTGTCTTGAAAAATACTTTATATAACAAAATACTTAAGGATAACAAAGATCCTATTGTACCGATTGCATGGAGGGAATGACATGAAACTGTTAATCTAAATTCCATGGCGTTACTATAAAGAAATCTATTAACACTGTCTTAGAGAGGTAAAACTACCACCATATATTTTAAAGAATCTGGTTGGTTCTGTAAAGTTTAAGTCTGTTACAAATAATAGGGTTGCGATCCTGAAGCTAATGTGGGTTACTATCGAGTGTCACACTTTCTTACTTGCTGTGGTTTGTTGGTTTGTATTGACAAACAGTCATGATATCTAATGAAAAACACCTTAGGTGTATAAAAAGGTACTGCAAAAATGATTCAGTTTGCGATTTAAAGGGATGAAATCAAAATTGGTGGTCAAACTGGTGGACCACGTTTTTCGTTCAACTTGGAGCATGATGGGGGATAAAATTAAGTACGTGGCTTAAATAACTAATAACTGAATATTTACTATAAAATTATTATCAATGCTATAAGTATAGCTACCAGCTTGATTTCATTCCCTTAAGTCGCACACTGAATCATTTTTTGGCCGCACCTTTTTTTCCCACCTGAGGTGTTTTTCATTATATTATATTAGTTGTAATTCAGATATTACACTAATCGTAGCTTAGATGTTACAGTAATGGTAATTAAGATATTACACTAATCATAACTTATATATTACATAGTGGTAGTTCAGATATTACACTAATTGTAGCTTAGATGTTACAGTAGTGTAATTCAGATGTTACAGTAGTGGTAGTTCAGATATTACACTAATCGTAGCTTAGATGTTACATTAGTGGTAATTCAGATACTATAATAGTGGTAATTCAGATGTTACAGTAGTGGTAGTTCAGATATTATACTAATCGTAGCTTAGATGTTACAGTAGTGGTAATTAAGATATTACACTAATCGTAGCTTAGATGTTACAGTAGTGGTAATTCAGGTATTACGCTAGTAGTAGTTGAGACCAAAAACAGATATTACAATACAAAAGTGAAGAAATTGTTATGTTTAATAACATGAACTCGCTACGTCGTTCGCTATACAAGACTTTCCAGTGAGCTATAGAATAAGAAGCTATGTAAATGTATACAACATTCACGAATGATGATATGTACGTCTTGCTCTTAGGTGGTTACGGCCGTTTCTACAAGTTCCGCTACACGAAGAATCTGAACCCAGGAGTTTTACATGTTACTGACTTGTAGTTTTGGATGTCCTGAAACGCTCGAAATTAACATTTACAAAAACTCTATTTCCGTTGCAGCTTAATGTTGATTTTAACAGCACGACTCCCATGTTAGAAAGATGAACTGAACACAGTGAAACGACATATATATACATATAAAGCTGTATCTCCTCTTAAGTATTTCAATGACAACATGGTATGGCCCACCTATGTTGGTCTGAATGTCACTTTAAATGAGTTACTATATCATACGAAGTTCGAGGATATATCTTGTCTTCTGTCAAAAAACTTGGATATAGAAACAA